CAGTAATTATTTTATATATATTTATTTTGAGCACACCCAAAGGCAGGGAGCATTTAAACACTGCTGAACTCTGCTTATTTGAGTGTCTRCTCCACAGAGTTCCAAAAACACAGCCAGCAGTAATAGGTTCCCAACTGGTTGTCACAAGAGTAAAACATAGTATTTTGATAGTAATCAATTTTATTTTGGTGTATATCTGTCACTTACGGAACAAAAACAAAAATACAGATTTGCTCAAAAAAGGCTGTGTTTAATATCAGGGTWGTTGAGAGTTGTTCTTGTTTTGCTTTGTTTTTTGATTGGTCATACACCAAAGGGTTTTGAACCTTTTTTTTTTTTTGTAGATGGTTCAAAACTTTCAAGATGAGAGTTGTTTCTTATTCACCACAATAAAAGGTATGTTGTCTTTTCTTTCCTGACCATCTAAAACTTGTTTATTCTAGCAAGGAGCCTTCTTTAAAAATAATTAAAGATCTGCACACACAGCGGCAGAAAATATTCCAGAGTTCTTCATTTCCTCGCCAGATTTCAGCCTCTGTGCTCAGGCTTTTCTCCAAGYTTTCAGGATTCACTAACAAACTTYACTTAAAATTCAGTCAGCCATTACTGGAAAGTGATGCTAGCAAATAATTTTGCGAATGGTAAAGTTTCAAAACAAGTTTAAAAAAAAATTAAATCCTAGCAATAGTACTTCTGAAGTTCAGAAACTGAATGTTAACCAAGTTCTGAGAGTCTGCAGAATTGAGCATAACATTCTGTTCTTTCCCTGCTAGTCAATAATCATCTTCAGTGGGCTGTTGTTGACTCCCACACTTCCTTAGAAGTCCAGTTTATTTCTGGTACAAGGTGCCAGCAARTGGTTCTAATCAGTGGACAACTTTGACTCTGGGCAGACTTTACCTACAGAAACTGTCCCAGCTTTGGAGGTCCAATTACAAATCATTAATCATAACATTTCTGTTTAGCACAAGTRGGAAATTTTTAAGAGCTGTTTTTGTTTTAGATTAGTTGTATTTTCAAAACTAAGTCCACAGTTGGGTGTTTTGATGCACTGTGTTGTATTTCTGTGGTTCTGTTCAAGACAGACTGACATTTCCTTCTTGTTTTCAGCTGAAAATGGAGAAGGCTTCCATATAATTCTGAAGTGACATCACACACTTGCTAGACCGATACTCCAACGCAGAATGAAGTCCTGCCTAAAGATTATGAAGATCATTCAAAACCTTAGGATCTAACTTCACTGTATAAGATGTTTCATATTGAAAACACAAAATGACCTTTCTAATGAGCTGTTTGATAGGTGAACTTTCTTATCACTGCCATAGCTAAGTGTCCTCATRAGAGGTATAATGCCATGACAGCTTCTGTACAGGCATGGAAGACAATGTAAGCAAAGGTGCTTGCCCTTCACTGAAATAAGGCAAACAATGGCCAGTAGATACAGTTTATAGAAGCGAAGCAGTGCTGCTTTTCTATTATCTGTATCCAGTTGGAGATGAATGTAAACTTATTTTGGGGCATTTACCTTTTTGTGCCAGTTTGTCTATTACGTGCTTGTACCTTACGCTGGTTTTATTTTTTGATGTTAGCAGAGCACATGCTAATCTGTGTGGAGATGAGTAGTTAAGGTGATAGTGATCAGGTTGTCAGGTCTTTGAGAGTAAAGCTGTCAATACAGCTTCACGTGTAAATTGTGTATAAGAGTATATGTAAGAAGTGTAAATGCCAGAACAGGGCTTTTAAGAAGCCCAAGACAGATGCAATATATGCATGCAGCAAACTGCATTATCAGTAGTACCTTATTGGAGGGATTAATATAAATCCTATGGGGTACCAAGTAATCGTGTTTTGCTTTAATGAATTTAATGGAAAAGAATTGCCTATGCATCCTTTATGTTTAGTTTCCTAGGTTCTCTGCAGAGCACTGCTGCAGTTTAACTCTTTGCTTGTAAAATTGTGGGTTTAAAAATACTGGCAGTGAGAGGAGGTKGGGTTTTCAGTGGAATTATGCTGATGAGGGAAGATGACCCACTGGCACCACAGGGCTGTCATAGCTTTCAGCAGCATTGAATAAATTGCTTGAGAAACACTAAATATACACCCTGTAAGTCTCCTTCCCAGCAGGTGAATGCCCTGCTGGAGTTCCTATTCTGGACAAATCTCTCCTTATCTTTTCTTCTGACCTTCCTGCACCCTCCATCCATCCATACTGTACACCTGTTACAGTGCCTCTTCCCTAYGACCAAATATTCACTTTTCTCTGAAACAGGCAATGTGCTTTCTCGGTATTTTGGATGTATTGTAAAGTCATGGCACAACATTAAATTTCAACTGGTTAGGTACTTAGAGGGGAATATTTCCAAAGGTATTAGGTGACAGTTGGAGAGCTGTCATTCTGTGCCTTTGGAAAGTTCCACCTTGATCTCTGGCTTAAAAGCTTGAGAATAGTTGTTTGCTTTTTATGCTGTGGTGTTCCATGTACACCAATACTACAGCATGTAAAAAAGCAACTTTGATTTTTTTCATTTCCCCTTTCATAACTGGCTCAAGTGCTTAGCAGAAAAGCTTCTAAAAGCTGTAGCATTTTGAAAATTTAAATTCATCGGACCTAGACGTTTTTTTCCTATTTTTGTTTTTTTTTCTGCACTGAAAGTAAAATTTTATGTACTTAAACATTTCTGCCTATAAGTTTTCATCTTTGGGTATTGTTTGGTCCTAGTATTTTCCTGAACTGACACTTGTGTCTTTTTAGCTCACACCATATTCAAATCCAAATGTTTTATAAAAGTGGAAAAATCCTTGATTGGAAAGTATCCAAATATCTAATTTTAAAGAATATTGAAAGTTGTACAGTAGTTTGTCCAGCTCACTTGAAATTGGAATTAAATTATGGCACCAGCAAATGGCTTTTGTTTTTTAATAAGATGTACACATTTCAATTTAAGTATAATAAATGTTTTTCAATAATTTTGTAAATGTGCTTTTCTTTTGGTTTACTTCTTTGTTTCCCACACCCACATTAGACATAGTCCATTAAGATTCAGAATAATTGCAGGACCTGCCCTAGCAAGAATGGTAGGTCAAGGTAAGGAAGGGAAGTAAACCAGCCCTGGTAGTATATCCGATACACAGTGAATTCACATGGATCTTCTGCTTCTAGTAGAAACCTTGCTTAGATGCGAAATAATTCCAAGAAATTCAAGTTTGACATCAGCTGATTGTTTATTTAAGTGTCCTATATCAGAGTAGGTTCCATTTTTTTTGTACATCTTCAATGCAATAGACTTACAAGGTTCATTGTGTTCTTAGAAAAAAAAATGAGCCAACAGAAGGCAACACATCTTGACATATGGGTACCAATGACTTCCCTGGTACAGTTGAGAATAAAATCTGGTTAAAACTCTCATTACACCAGCAGTGTCTTAATGGAACTCTATAATTGTAACAGCACTCCACTACTGTGCAAAAGAAGCCCAGATTGGCTTACTTTATAGYAGTAAAGAAATCCATGTACTGTAGTCTAAGATAGAATTTAACCCCACAGCTGAGGTCTTTAGTTTACTGTCCCCATCCTCTGAGTCAKGAACACAACCCAGCCACTGCTGGCTGTGGAAGTTCATGTTCACACTCACTCCTCTTCAGAAGTAGTTTAAAGTTTGCAGGGGGAAAATTGCAGTACTATCCAGTAGTAGCTTTTCCAACTGTTTTTTAATTTTCAGTAAACACAGGCCCAGAACTCTTTAAAACACACATACACACACACACACACAATCAAACTTACACAAAAAAAGCTTTCTGAACTGTCGAGTAGTTTCTCTCAGGTAATTAAATTGCTTAATATAAAAAAGTTTATCTAATTGTCTAGCACTGAAAAACTAAAGATGAAAGCATGGCCTTAAGAGTTGATACATAGATTTTTATCATTATTATCATTCAGAAGTTGACAGTTTCTTAACCAAATGTGAAGAGTTTGGCTTTCTACATTTGCAAACCACAGGTTTGGTTTGGTTCAACTCCTGCCTACAGACTGATGAGCACATATGCTTGTCCCTAAAATGGGTGGGACAAATAGAATTCCTTGCTTCATCCTGTTTTCTGTAGCTGAACCTGTTTTCCATTCATCTGTAGAAAAGCATGTGTGCTACACCCCTCTTCCTGGAAGTGCTGCATCCTTTCCTTCCACCCCGCAGAGGTCGCAGAGGACGTGGGGATGGCATTACAAGAGCACCATGGATGGTTGTGGCAGCAGGTACAGTAGAGTGCACAGGCTCTACCACAGTGGATTTCTTACCCCCGTTCAAGGCCGATGGCATCGGGCAGAACGTGCATTGGTGAYGGGCAAGCTTTGTACGAGCAGAGTTCAACTGAACCAAGTCCAAAAAACTTGGAAAGTATTTCTAGTTCTAAGGTTATCTTGAGGTACTACCTTACCTTTTGACATTACCTATTATGTCCTGATACATAATTAAATATGAAGCTGAATCATGAAAAACAACAAGTTGCTGTTTCGCTGTAAGAGCTTATGATTACTTCGCATTTTTTGGTCAATGTCTGCTAAAGCTGATTTGTCCTTAAACCTGATACTTGATCTGTGGTATATGTTACAGAACAGCAGGCTCAGTTCCTTGGCATGGCAGCCTTAAGCCCMCCTTTACATCAGAACTTCACACCGAGCAGTGCTTACAAATGCAAATTAACTTCCAAGTTTTGTGAACTTCCACCAAGTAGCTGCTACGCTGCAATGCCCACGCGTTTGACACAGTACTGCAGTTCTCATGCCAACAGAAGGAAGGAGTTACTAAATACAAACCAAAGCATCACCAACTTAATCCACAGCTGCACATTACGTTTAGATTTTTACCTGGGGAAAAAAAAAACGCTTTTCTTGTCACAAAACTGGATGACCAAACACCACCATTAGGACTTGTCAGGAAAACAACTCCTTCCGCTGACTTGCAGTCCCATTCTTCAACAACAAAATTTTCTGTGTGGCTGCAMTCACTGTCAAAGGATAATACAGCATCTGCAGAGGCGCTGTCCACTCCCTCCGACCGACGGTGGGGGAGTTACTGGAGCAAAGTAAGCATGAACTTTCACGTGAGGTAGATGAGCCTGTGGATGAAGAGGCTGTGTTATAAYGGGAGAAAAAGAACAGAACTGAAAAGAGAAGCAGCACACCTCAACTGTTGTGCCAACAAGTGCTCTGCCATTAAGGTTAGTTAGGGAAAAAGAAAGTGGATACCAGCCAAGCTCTCTTCTCACACATAATTYCTCCTGTTCCATCCAGCTAAGGCACACCAATGTCTGGGCACTCTGCACAGGGCTCCCTTTGGTTTCCCAGCAGAGCACTGATAAGCCCAGACAGCTCTGCATCAGGAGAGGCACATGTTTTGCTGCAGGGGAGAGAGGGATGGATCCTGGCTACTGAAGGATGACTTGCCTGTACCTTGTCTCCCCTATTCCCGCTGCTGTTCTCATCCTGAAAAGCAGCACGAAATAGAATTGTGCATCTGCCCTCACTTTGAGTCACTATCAGGGATGAGCTTTCCGGTTGCAAAATTCTTTGGACACAAATTTGGGATACGAAGCTGCAGMCAAGTTTAGCTCCAAGGCTAAAACGCTGCCCCTGCAAGGCAGGTGTTCCTGGACCTAATGGATATGCAGGGAAAAGGTTTGGGGCTGGATTCCAGGGCCTGMGGGCCCTACAGCCCAGCCCAACAACTGAAATATCCATGCAGATGTTTCACTACTGGCTCTGCATATTCATGTATATTTTAGGATATATATACATACATATATATACACACATATTTAGATATAGCATACACCATCCTAAAAACAGAGGCCCGTATTTGAAAAAAATACAGAAAGCAGAAGATAAGTACTCATCATTCCACCAGCAAAATGTCCTGARTCAGAACTGCCAATTATTGCTGTTCACACAGGAAAGTCACAAACACGGGGACCTAACAAAAGGCTAATCAGACTGTTTATCCAGCCTGCCTTGCCTGGGACACTTGTAGGACATCTACCATCTCAAGCAGTACCAACAGCTCTGGCATTTCCAGGGGAACAAKGCAGGAAACACATACTCTGATCCGTTTGATTCCAGCTCGTGTGACTTGCTGACAGTCATACAGCTCAATTCTCTCCAAGTTGTGGCAGTTCTCCAGGTGTTCCAGAGTCACGTCTGTGATGAGGAGACAGTTATCCAGCTCCAGCACCTGCAGCCTCTCGTGCCCACACGTRCTGTTGCTCAGGTGAAGAATCCCATCATCAGTGATCAGTTCACAGTGAGACAAGCTCTAAAACAGAGAGGCAAACAAACAACATCCTTCAGTCCTAAGCTRCTCGAGCCTCTGGACATCAGAAGCCCTCTTCAACCTCCTTCACTCCAGTGGTTAAACAGCTACAAGTAATACACAGCTGAAATCCAGAAGAGTAAAAAAAGAAACTGCTTTACTCCACAAAAYGGCTGTACTTTTTGCTTCAAAACAAGTTGTGTCCCAAAACACATCCCTGGCAAAACTCCTCAGGCCCCTCTGCTCTCTGTGAATGTGGGAATTCTTTTCCAATTGTCCCACACAGTGCAAACAGCACCATGCCAGAAACAACTTTAAAGGATGATGGAGAACATACGGGAATAGATGAGTATCTGTTCAAGGGTTACTGTTTCACAGCTGCCATGTTCTCATRCATACACCAAGACCAAGCCCGTGCAAGTCCACATAGATAAAGAACAATCACAGTGGACTGATTTCAAAAAAAACAAGCTGTGAGCACTTGGCACCTCAGGCTGTACAGACTGGAGCAATAAACATCTTGTACAGCTGCAGGAGCAGTCTYTTCTGCAACACTCAGCATAATAAACCAAAAAAATCTGCTCCTCTTCAGCATARTTTTTCACTCCCTTGAATTTCAAGAACACGGAAAACGATGCCGCATCTCAGGCAGTGGCACCACATAAAGCACTCTCCTCATTCCTTTAGGGAATTCATGACTTTTGGAGAAGCACGGATGATGACAACAACAGGAAACAGACATTCCTCAGAGGCAGCTTAAGAAAAACCACTCTTTGTCAGCACTGAAATGAATGCTCTCAAGTCTTCCCCAGTGAAACGTGCAGGATCTGTGAACTCTACTCCTCTTGCCCTGGGCTCTCAGCTAGTGCCGTGCTTTTTGCTCAGCTTTGTGTTTTGTCTGTACTTGTACCTAAGTCTAATAGGTTCTGGTTCTGAAGTAGCATTTCCTTGYCCCAAATTCTTTTTTTCAGATAGGAACTGAAGACTAACCACTTGCAACAGTCCAAAAGCCATTTTTAACTCAGTGCAAGCAAACAGTTATGCTCAAAAGGACGCCCTGCCAATCCCCCAACTCTTTGCATGTAGCCTTTCCCCTGTCTGGGTGCMACACATCTATCTTTTATTCCAGCCTGACAAGGCAGCCTGGGGACTACCAACCTTACCCTTCCTTCACTTCATCTACAGTCACGAGCATTTCCTGCCTGCTACCTGCCACACAAGGTCTCCTTTCCTCTACAGTATGAACAGGGAACCGGAGAAAGGCTGGGAGACAGGTCTGTACTTCCCCTGGAGTCTGAAGTCTGGTCCAGCTGGTCCAATTTAACTCACCAAGCATGAGCAACCAGCAGGGACTCCAAGCAATACTACAGGAAGTGCAAACTGTCTCCAAAAGACAAGAGAAATGAAGTGCTTGTCCCTACCAACAGTGTTTAATCTCCTGACACCCATTCTGGCAGTCTCTCAAGTCTCCAAAAACGTCAGCTCTCTCCTCTACCTCCTTTCTCTGTGTACGTGCTCTGAGCACTTGGTTTGGCTCAGAGCCTGGGAACAATCAGCAGCTGCAGGGTTAACCAACATTCATAACAGAGCTGCTGCTCCAAGGAAGGACAGGAGGTTCTGTGAAGCTGTTGGCTAATTAGGAGTATTCCATCCCAGGAAGTAAGCAGCTTATAAAATCAGCTTTCCTGGGACGCASTATTTGGTACTGAAAGGACAATACAGGATGTACAGCTGAGTTCATAGAACTTKGTAGAACAAATATGCCAAATTATACACATTTCATATTAAACCACAGGATTTTTCTGACTTTATAAGCCTGCTAAAAAGCATTAATAATGTGGTATTTTACAAAGACAATTGCTTGAAATCCTAAGAACAAAGAGATATAGTAAATTTTTTTTTAATACATACTAACTGCTGTGTATAAATCAAGTATGGCGTGACATATTATAAGAATTTCACATGCTGTGAAGAATTCAATTGTCTTCTCATTTTCAGGACTATGATGAGTATTTCAGTTTCTCTATTAATTTGAATGTACAGTTATTAAATACTTTACCAGAAATTACATTTTAAGTACATAAGGCAATAAAGTACTTGAGCATTCTGATACTGAAGAAGATTTGCCYATTTCCACCATCTATTGAGTCTCCAAACATGAAAAAAGCAAATTCAAAGTTGATCTCTGCAACTCCAAAATGTCTGTTCTAACTGCAAATACAGGAGTTTACAGGACTTTGGAAGCACCAAGATTAGTTCATGTATTTGGCACCTGCCAGTCTTGTCTTTTTGTGTAGTTCTGAGCCATTGCTGTTCACACACAATCTCTGAGTATCTATTCTTCCTACCCATAGGTTATATATAAAGATATATACCAAATAAAACAGGTTTTCTGATTCTCTTAAGAAAGCTGTGATGTTTTACCAATGCTACACTTCCCTGTCTGTAGGCAAACACACAAAGGCCAGCAAACAGGAGCAGATTCAGAAAAAATGCTTGGGAATTACGATGTTTTATGGCATCTCTGTTGAAGCACTGATAGAACTGGTAAAAAAGATGTTCTTGCAAGAAGATTGTATTGGATTACAATACAAAAATGTGTCCCACAGAAATGGCTCCACATCTCCTGACAACATTTGGTTTAACACCAAGAATGATGGTTCAGAAATTAAGCTAGACAGATAAGGGAAAAGATAAAAAAAAAAAGCCAATAAAAATAGTGAACAAGCTCCTTTTAAGAGCCATCTTTCCTCATGTTGCTACCTTAGTAACACTGAGTGAGTAACACTAATCATAACAGAATTTAATTAAGGAAGCAGAACACCTTCCTTTAATCCCACCTAAGAACAGATTATAAAGATACTTGTTCTCTCATGTAGATCTAAGTAGTTATAACAAATCTACACTAAAGGACAATTGGCCTGAAATACAGGAGCTCCTACTGTATGAACAATCCAGTAATTTTCAAGTATCTTGAAAACCAGACAAATTTATGTTACCTCCAATTTGTTTTGATGATCTGAAAGATCTAAGCTACCACTCCCTGGAAAACAGTTCTTTGAAATACAGTAAGCAGAGTACCCCACTCTMAATCCTCTCCTTAATTTATTATGAAGGAAACCTTCCATAATTTATTATGTATTTGATGTGAAGTGTCATACTCTGTTACAAAACCATTACTGTACACTTAAGAGTGTCTATTAAAGGATCTAAGTGCTTTAATTTTAATCAAATATGTAAGGAATCAAATATGAAGAATGTTAACCATAAAACAAAAGCTTTCAGGTTATTACTGATTTGGTAACATTTTTTTAATCACACAATGCATGTAAATATTTTAGGAGTAATGTGCTGCTTTTAGAATAATTATGAAACTTGCAYATAATTTGCACAGTATCACTGTACATCAGGAATGATTTCTAGACACAGAGTGAACAGCCTGGGTTTGAACTGTGGGAGTTGTGTCCCTGTGTGTTTTGGGGGCAGGAGTTACACTTACCAATGCTTGTAGCTTAGGACAGTGTATGGAAAGTTGTATCAATGTGCTGTCAGTTATCTAGGAATAAAAGAAACAAACAAGCCATCAGCAACAGACAGCAGAAGAGGCAGCCCTCACATAAGGGATCTCTTTCTCTACCAGATGAGGGTTCTGTTATTTCTGGAAAACAAYCCATCACCTGTCACTCTCCAAGTATTTCCCTGTATAGAATTTCCCAATAATTATTTTTATTTCCGACCATAACCACAACACTATTTATAAAAACCAAAGAACATCTAGATGAAGATGTTAGTGTATTGCATTCTTATACTGGACATTAAATATTCCTTTTAATATTAAATCTCACCAAAACACACTCTTCCAAGTCCATCTTCTCCAGCTCATGACAATTCTACAACAAACAAAACATGAAAAGATAAAAAAAAGAACGAATAAAACAACATACAGATATGAAATCATGCACCGGGCTAATAATAAGGGATAGCACAGCTTGCAAGAGGAAACTGAGATCTAAATCCCTTCAAACATTTGATCACCATTAAAAGACAAAAAAACCTTTTAAAATAWATAAATAGATGCATGAACAAGGAACACTCCACTTCCCTCTACATTTCAGCTTTTCTCCTAGTGAGTGAAATGTCTCCCTCTTGCCCTGTAAGGTTTGAATAGGACATACCAATGCTCATCACCCCTGCTTCCCTTCCACCCTCACTCCAAACCTAAGGCATTTACAGACTGCACTAAATCAGCTCATCAGCACACATACAAATCCAACTGCTGTGTTTATCAGCCTAAACCAAACTCATCTGGAATACACTTAAGCCTATGGCACATCTCTCTTTGTTGTCATACATTAAAAGAAGCCTTAAAACCAAATTGCTTTGCCAATGAATGCTGAAAATATTAAAATAAGGTCTACTTTAAGGGTAGRAGAAAGCTGCATGTCACATCTACACAAGTAACTTTCTCAGCATTCTGAGAGACCCGCTGCAAGCTTCCAGAAGTGCTTTCAATATCTGATCATGACTAATTTCACGAATATCACACAACCTTGTGACCTTGCAGYAGACCACATTGAAGTGAGCTGTGGCACTATTCCCAATCCATTTTTTCCAGGAATAGAAAAAAAAAAAAGGTTTAACTTGCAGCCCCCAAGAGCAGGGTTGAGGTGACTACCAAGAGCCTGAGGCTGTTAGTGCTGAACAATCAGAAAACCACTCTGTTTAACCACTGTGGCTACAAAACAAAAAACCAACAAACCCTTTCATTCACAATAAATATCAGSAGCATAAATGAATCCCATTTATAGAATATATTTTTTGTCTTCAGGTTTCCTAAACCAGCAAGTATACAAGTCTAACGTGAAGCATTTGATACCGACAATATACTTACTGTACATATTTACAGCATGAACCAGGGCTCAAGTGCTTATAGTTTATAACRTATAGTGTTCTGTAATTTAAAGTTACCCTCAGAACAATCTACTCTATGCTGATTTTTTAAATGCAAATATCACAAGATTGTGTATCATCAATATAAAGGAAATTTGGCTAGAACACATAACACGAGTTTAGAATTATGTTAAGTGTAATAAATACAATTGGAACAAACTTAAAAAGAGAGGAAAGAAGTGAAAAATGCAATGATAGATGGCAAATTAGATCAAGTTGCAGATCTAAATATAATCCATAAATAAAATAGCTTTTCAGTCCCCTCCTCCACTGGCTTCTTTCTATTTGAATTTTCCTCTTCTCATATTGCTTCCCAGCAGGACTAGATCAATTCACAGCTGCTCAGSAGCAATGAAACAAGGCAAGCTGTAGCCTTCTGAAATGACCCTTACCCGTGCTAGGAGGGTAAACCCAGCATCTGTAAGATGTGAACATCTTGCRGCTTCCAAAATCCTGGAAAAGTTTTAAATGTTAAAGAAAATATTAACATCGAGAAAAGCAAATGTATTTGAGATACAGATCTGTCTTCTGCAACTTAAAAAGTTCTCAATAGCAACTGTGTATATATATATATATATATATACACATATATATATGCATATATACAGATACAGATATATAGATATATACAACCCCCCTCATTTTTCACAGTGATTTGAAATTAAAAAGCAGACTTAATCCAGTTTATCAGGAGATTCTGACAGTCAGTGAACACTTAGTGGAAAAAAATTATACACATTTARAGGCATTTTAACCTCTTGTTTCAGTAAAAGCATAATGACCAAATTTTCTCATGTCTGAGGAAAGATATGGAAAATTAAACCTTGAGTTAAGGAAAGTGCAGATGAAGCCTTTATCTCAGATCCGTTATCYAAACAAAGGCTGCTGGGAAGCTACAAAGCAGGGAAGTGCTTACTAGAAATCCCCTCAGAGCCTCTGCATGAAGCACAGTGAAGCAATTTACCAGAAATCAAGGAGCTTAAAATCTCCAAGCCCACAGTAAAAACAATAAACTRTGCCAACACAATCTTGAAGAAAACCATACAGTGTTTTGGAAACATAATCCTAACACTTCCGAGAGGCATTGGGAAATAGTATTGGAAAAAAAAAACCCCTAAACAGTCCCAAACAGCACCACTAGCATGCACAACAGGCCTCCATCCCATTAATGTTTTGCTGTCTTTGTTACCACTGTCCTTTCTTTAGTCAACACTTTCCTTCACAGGTGGAGTATCAAGATGAAAAAGGGGAAACCACAGTGCCATGGAATGMGCAGCACAAACCAAGTGCAACTCACCTCAACAAACACTGCTGCTATACATGGGGCTGGTGAGGAGGAGCCAGGAAAAGAGGGACAAAAGAACTTTTTGTGGCAATACTGAGAGGCCTCCAGGTCCTTCCACTGGTTTARGAGGTCATTAGAACAGTCTCTCCAGCCAGAAAGTGCAAAGGGAAAAGCCATGTGTGTGCATGGACATAATACAGCCCCACCAAAGTACAGGATGTGGGGCTCTAACTATGACTTTGCTGGATCAGCCTTTTCCAAGTCAAAGCAAGAGGGCAGCCAAATTTAGAGCTGAGCAGCCCCACAGGCTTGAAAAGCCATTTCCAGGGCTCCAGTTTTCAAACGAAGTATAAACTCAAGCCAAGTACAAGACAGGCACCTCTTCCCAAATGGATGGTTCTAATGCCTCTGCCTTTCTTTAGACTCACATTTGGGAATTCTGTGCCCTTCCACCAAGCACAGTTAGCAGCCCATCATCARGTACTCTCTGCTATTCTGAAAATTGCCTATGATACCACACAGGGCAAAAACACCACCACCACAAATAACCCCCATGATTCAGGACACATTTGTTACCCTTCCAACTCTTTTCATCATTTACTTGCTACAAATCCCATCTCATTACATGGCTGACTTTAAAGGGGCRTGGAGAGGGAATGGCACCTGCAACATAGTGAGGATTCTACTTACTGCACACCCAGCAGAAGATGACAGAAACAGCAATAAAAAAAAWWWAWAAAARTATCAAGCCCCTGTTTGAAAAAMCAGGTGGGAAAGCWCTRGGCAGCATGGAAATAAAGAGCAAASTTCTGATTTTTGCTTCTGTTTTAGTGATTGTGCTTCAATACGGAGGGCTCTTCTTTTTTCCCGTTAAAACTGACTTGAATTTCCCACTCAGTGATTTGTGGAAAAGTACCTAACATAGGAACTGATGAGGCAAAATGACATYCAAGAGCAGATGCGCCACTCTCACGAAAGAACTTTCTCACAGACAGACTCAGAGTTGCATTCATTGTGTACAGCTGCCTTTYGGGCACACCTGGAATGTCTCTGCACTCGGCACATCCCTACTCCTTTGGAATTAGCAGCCAGTGGGGCTGAAAGGAATTTCATCCTAACTTTCACAGCCCCACCCTGWCAAAGACATTCATGATTCACAGGTGCATTTCCTGACAATCCTTACCAAAATACCTACCAGTATTCTAGCATTAAAAAGAGCTAATAAAGAAAAAAAAAAAGGGAAAGTAGCAAACACCTGAAAGAGCAAATGTGAGGAGGTATGACAAGACACCTGTATCTTGACCTGAAATAAGAAATACAGCTGAAGGGTGTGCTGAAAGCTTGACCTAAGCTTTCGTCCAAGGAAATATTTGTGACTTATAACAGCTGCATCATGGAAATGCAACAGTATCATGGAAAGCAGCATAGCAGGATATTCAAGATCCTGAAGTGAAGTGAGAGTAGCACAGCATAGAAAATATTTAGAAATTTCCTAACAGGGCCAACAACTCCRCAACTCCAAGAGAGGCAGCAGTTTTCTTTTCACTCAACACTGAACTATTCAGAAGGTACAGAACAAGGGCAGAATTACACTTCCCTTGACTTCCAACATAATTTTTATCAAGTACTTTCCATCCTTGATCCCAAAAGTCTAGATGTAACCAGCTGTATCATCTGTCCTTCCAACATGCAGTAATCCTCAGCAGTAATCACTGCAAAGGGTTGTTTTCTTTCCTTATGCTGTTCCTCATTAGAGCAGCAGAGAGGCAGACGCCTTCCCCCTCGTGGCACACACAGGGGCTGACAGTTTATCTACCAAAGACAAAACTATTCCTGCTGCAGGCATACTGTCCTTGGAAAGAACTGCACAACTAACAGCAGTTTAGACCTCCTTTTATTTCCCATCTGAGATGTTAATTGAGAAAATGAGACAARTAGTGGAAAAAGACCAGCAACAACAGCAGAGCTTTCTAAGGAACATCACTAAGTGTGTCAGAAGACTCCTAAGCCTCTAGTAAGTACCAACAGTGACACAAAGGGGACCGTCAGCCTGGAATTGTCTCAAGGATAGTCTTGTACAGTAAAAAAAGCTCTTTTTTCACTCATTCAGCTAAAGGAACACTTTAGCATATGGTTCACTGGCATTTGAATGTAGCATCCCCTAATTTTTACAGACTACACATTCCTCCACTGTCTGTGGTTTAAGGATAACAAGTTCTGACTCCTGCATGTTCCTGTCATAAATGTCAATTTGTCAWCCAAAAATCTTATCTTTTTATTAAATTTACATTAAAATTAGAAGAAGTGCTATATGTCTCTACAATATGTCTCTACAACCAGGGAGCTGCTGCATAACTGACTGGTTTTAAAGCCTGCCATAACATATATGTCAGCACAAATTACACAAATTATAATTGATAAGCTCCTATTGCTCAAAACATCTCTCATAAATATCAATCTTCAGTGCTTACAAAGACAATAGCACACTTTATATCAGAGTTCCAGAACACCAGGCTGTACTGCAGAGCATATTAAAAGCACTTTTATAATAAAATCTTAAAATATAATAATTAAACATGATTTAGCTATTTGTTTGTAAGACAGATGACTGCATAAAACCACATCAGAGTACAAACACCACAAGACACAACACAACTACAGATATCTCTATCTTTAAAAAAAATAATGGGCTTTAAATCATCTTTTCTTCTAGCTTGTAATTAGTATCTAAAATATTTAGCTAGGAGCACAGAATTGAACTACTGAATTCAGCATGTTTTATTTTTCATATATTAACTCTTGTTTTTCTAGTATCTAGTATCACCGTGAACTACATTAATATGAAGCTACAGAGGACCAGCCCTCAAGTTTATGTACTTTTAACTTAATGTTTTGATTGCAAAGGTAATGCAAACAGCACAGAGTTAAACTAAACCTGTAGCTACCAGCTCATCTTCAGAAGTGAATTTCTTAGATCAGGCCACTAAGAACATGACAAACAACACACTCATGATATACTCACTTCAGCCTTGGGCAGTTTAGACCAAGTGCTGTGAGAGAAGCATCTGTCAGGTTGCTGCAGCCTGAAACACAGAGTGACTGCAGTCTATGGCATCCTCTACAGATTTTCACAATGCCTTCATCTGAAATTTGCTGCAACAMAGAAGGCTGAAGTTACTTCTTATCAAGAATCAGCCAAGAACAAGAATCAAGAYATCACTGAACTGCTACTGTTACACTGTATATAACCAAAGCAACCCAGATTTTGAAGCAAAAAATACCACTGTGAAACCACATACAATAACACTGAAGATAACACTGAAGATAATGAACACTCACAATTCCTACTTAATTATGTATTTTTCCATAGATTTTAAGCCCTACTCTAAGGCAGTCTGAAGCACAGAGGGAGAGTTGTTTGTTGTTATCTCCCTTTTWCACTTTGTTTTTGTTTTCTAATTTTTCACTTTCTTTTTAAAAATTGTGCTCACTTCTTATATATTGGTGGGATTGAGGTCTTTTGTTCCAGTGACAGTGTAAGTTTGGGAAAAATGTGAAAGTGATCTTAAAGTCCCACAGCAAGAGAGCAAACTACCTAATTTGCACAGGAACCGTAGGACACCAGGGCAAAATACTTCACTTTCAGATAATTTTTGAAGGAAGAGTTACAGGGAAACAATGACACATAATCTGTTCTTTACAGAAAATRAGTGAAAAAGCCAGGTTTGCCCTACCCTATGCAGTTGTCTTGAGATGAAATGTTTAACTCAAGAGAGGATTTTTCATTTCTCAAATTTTTTTTGTAGCAGATACTCTGTAAAGAGTAACTCTAAAACTGGAAAATGAATAAATAAGTTTTCTCTCTGGAACAGGAACTATAAGAAATAGCTCCATCACAGCTACACACAAAATAGCAACAGGAACTGGACTGCTGTGTGTGTGCAAATATGATTTTGYTTACAAGTCTTCTATTCCAGAAAAAGCTCTCTCTCCTCCTCCTCCTTCTAACACTATGAATTTAATTTTTCTGCTGGGTGGAACAGGTTGTTTTATTTCCTGGCATAATATTACTCTTACAATAGTAACAAAGACTTCCATTTTATTTTAATAGAGAATATTAATAAGAGAGTATTTTTAATAGAGAATACACAGTCCTTGTATAAGCCCCTCATATGAGCACATTCATACAACTGTAGCATTTTTCTGATGCTATTACYACAAACATAACCCTTCCTAGATAAAAACAGGATGAGAAATAGCAGTTAGCTCAGCAACCTTATGCTCCTCACCCTAACCCAGCACGTTTTAATAGCAGAAGTTTAGATTTGCAACTTGTTCAGTTAAATTTGAATTATTGTAGGCAGAAAACTAGAAGTCCCATTTTCTTTTTGTGGATCCAGAAGGATTTGCATCATCTACAGGTAAGAAAATCAGCTTTGGAGTTTTGTCCAACACATCTGTCAGGTATTTCTAGATTTGAGTCTCCAAAACCATGGCATTTTCTGGAGCTGTTTCATTTCCTTTGAGAAATACTCATGACACTATTRCTGGGGAAATGGACTGCTTTGAAGGTAAGGACTATGTAAATTTCATGCTGCTGTAAAAAGCCCTCAGGTTATATAGGAAAATCTTCCACTCTGAAATTGCTTGTGATTCCAACGCCTACATCCSTCTCAGGAAAGAAAAGTGTTTGAAAAATGTCTGCCAAGTGCCTGGTTTCTAAAATCTTTCTCTAAAGATGAACCTTTCAGATGTGCAGTTTCCAGAGCAAATGTAAGTTCATTCCATAGCTGCTGGAGCTGGCCTGGCATTTTGCAAGGCCCATTAAACACAGTCACTGGAATTACAGTGGGGGTCATATCATATCAAGCTCAAGGACACCTGCTGTGTGAAAATCAGTGCTAGCCCTTTGATCATAAGGAGCTGGGATGTTTCCGAGCTACAGCAAACAGGACACACCTCCAGTGAAATAAAGCTTTAAAGCACATGTAACTAGGGAGAACACAGAGTAGCAATTAAAAAACTCAAAGGAAAAAATACTTTCCCTCAGGAAAGTTTTTTTGTTTGTGCTACAAAACAGACATCCTGACCAAGGGAAATCTCTGGTGCACTTCTATGCCAATGCCACTGTTAAGTGGGAGAGACAGGAACCRATTATCATCAGATGTCTTGAGAGCCTTTCACAAAACCAGTCAGAAAAAAACCAGGCTTTGATATATCTCATTAGTCTCAGGCAAAACACAACTGAAAAAGAACTTGGGAGAAAGAAGGCAGCAAAAGGAAGAGCAAAAGGGGAGGAAATTATGCACTGACTTTATTTATTTCAGTGTGGTTCTGACCAAAAGAAGGAACCTCCTTTCACTGCTGTTATCTTTAAGTGCCYAGCTTCAGTGAGTACCTAAATTCAGACTGAAAAATTCACTTTCACTGAACATCTGGATCACGGAATCTCAAAGTTTGTATTCATATTGTTCTTACTTTCTGCAATTTTAATGTAACTTTTAATAATCCCTAATATTCAAAAATATTCAACACTTTAAAGAACTCTGTGAGGGTCTATCTTAACAAAAAAATGTTCCCATGCCCTATTCATTCAGGAATAATCTGTAAAAAGACTTGAAAGTTTTGCTGGTTCTTATCATACTTTCTAGTAATAAAACCAGAAAACTTTTCAAAAACAAACAAAAATATAACTTCATTGTTCAAATCTGCATGATTGAAACACTGAAATACTACTTTATTTCAGTATTTTCTATGGCTTATTTGCAGGGAAAGAATTACTTAGATATATTTAAAATCTAAAATAAGGTCTTTCCCATTCCTGAAAAGTCACATCAGAAACAACAAAAAAGCAGACATAAACCAGAGCAAAGAYGATTTGTGTTCTCTAAGTAGAATTCAAAGTACATGAATGATTCCCAGTCATTTCATTACTAATGAATGTGTCCTTCCATTAATATTGGAAAAGCATTCCCTTCTGCTACTTAGATGATTCTGAATCATCTTCAGTTATGATGCCATTACATTTTACTCTCAATTATGTAGTCCAGAACAGGACTTCTGCTCAATTAGAAATCTTAGAATTATGAATAGGCCAAAATGCTACACAGTTCATGAAATCTGAATGAATGCAGTTAATTCTTACTCTAGAGTTTACCATAGTTAAAAGATGCAATGAGGGGGAAAAAAATAACCCAACATTTCAAGTCACAACTTAGCAGTAGAAAAAGACAGCTCATTTAAAGCCACTATTCCACATAAAATCCTGTAACTGCAGAACTGTACTACGTGAATTTCTTAATTCATTAGCATTCAAAAATGAATTCTGATTCTTACAGAATGTGGAAKTTTCAAATACTTACTGTACATGATTGCAAATTCAGGATTACAAGCTCATGACAGTGATTTTGAATATGTTTCAATGCTTCATCTTCTAACTGTATTTAGTAATTAAATTGGACATAGGAAAAGAAACAAGAAATTAAAAGCACAGCAAAGCAGCCCAAAGAACGTACACATCTTGCAATATTGAACAAATTACTATAACAAAAACGGTATTTTTTAATTCATGGAGATTTCAAAACCCAAAATAAAATTTTATTCCTAAAGGATCACCCAAGCAATTATGTACCTGTGTGCAACCTCTAAGAAATAGAGCTTTTAGTCCACTACACCCTTTCACCAGTGCTTCAATACCATCCTTCGTAATCTGATCACACCAGGAAAGATTCAAATGTTCCAGATTTCTGCAACCCTCACTGGGAGAATTAAAAAAATACATAAAGTTAAATCCAGCCTTCAAATAGTCATAACAGTGGGAAACCCAAATTAAACACACTGTTAGAAATTAATGATAGCCAGTGGACCGTGCCCGGCCTCCACAGAAAAGTCATGAGAAAAGACCACACACAAACACCATAGTCTACACCCAAGAAGTCCTAGATATAGAATACAGCCAGTGCTGATTCACAGTATTAAGGTTCAGCACTTAATTTAAATCAATTTTTTAAATTTTATTAAATGCTGAACAGCTCTTTAAATGCTTTTCTTTAACACAAAACACTGAATCTTCTTACCTTAAGCCTTTTAAAGAACTGTTTGTGATGGCTACACAAGATGTCAGATCCAGATGTTTCAGCTTGGAACAGAATCTGCTAAGACTGTAACACGTGCTGCAAAACAGCAGACACACTAAAAATACCTTCAGCTACTTCTGTTTCCAAATTTWCCCATCAATCAAAAAACCTTTTTGACTTACCTGTCAGTGATCTTTGTGCACCCATTCAGATTTAAGTGTTCAATGTTTCTGCAGTTCTGTGCAAAGGTCCTAAAACACCAAGAAAGAGCTGAACTAAAATAATGTTCCAAGTGCAATGCAGTCACTAGAGCGCGCTCTGTCCTGTACCTTCTCCCACCTCAGTCAAAAAGCCTGATCTTCAAGMCACAGAGTAATTGTAAAGTATGCCTCAAATACATCTGTTTCMGTGGTTGTTTCTTCCTTTTCCTACTGCAAGTTTCTGGTCTTAGGCAAGTGYTGTTTCTCTCTCAAACACCACTTGGACACGTCGGTTATTTGTGTCATATAAGTGCCAGAACTTATTTACTTCAAATACCGTAACTGAAAACTCAAAGGGCAAAACCAGAAAGTTATAAGCATCACATCAGTTAAACATTAGGCTTCTGGGGAGAGTTTTTGTRTATCTCATTACTGAAGTCTTCGTAGGTCTTAATAAGGAGCTCGTTCCCACACCAAATGGAAAGGGACACACCTGGTGCAACACCAAAGTGTGACCTAAACCTWTTGGACTACCAGCAGAAAGCCCTGTAGGCTGTAAATTACTTCTTTATTATTTTAAAAATTAAAAAGCATCAGTGTGCWCTACTGGGTATGAATTTTGAGGATGATTGGATTCTACTGCTGAGAGCCTGTATGTATCATTATATAATTATCCTGAAGAAAAAAAWAAACTTTCTTTTAATCTCTGCAAGTAATATTTACAGCTGTGTTGCACTTTAGAACACTGTTTTGATGCCCATGTTTCCTTCAACTGCATGGATTTTATTGGCAGGAGGGAAGRRAACATATAAAACCAGTTTTGTCTGGAGGCTTGCCCCGGTTAGCAGATCTGACTACACACTCAGCTGGTAACAACTTCTGGCTCTCCAGTGTGGATTGAAAACAATGGAAAAAAAAGCCCCAGCAAGCAGTTATACTGGCGAGAGTTTCCACTTGAATTCTCAAAACAGCTATTCCAAAATTCATGTACTGGAGGGAGATTTACAATCAAGACATGCTTCAAATCACTTGGAAAGATGTTACACTCCAGAGGAACAGCAAACTGCCTCTGAGATTCAAGCGTGAGACATGTCCTGACAGACCTACTACAAACATTCAGTGCTTGCATGGCAAATACCTACATCAGTAATTGGCTATTTTGCATAAAAGCATATATTTTGCATAAATCCTGAGAAGAAGGATAAATAGAAAAATTAATATCACCCACAGAACTAATGGATCTGGAAACAACTCAACACAAATAGCYTTATAAGAACAGTCACTTTCAGAACAAGTGTCTGAAAATTATTAATGCATGAATTTATTCTAGAGACAAAAATTAATGAATTAGACTGACTCATAAATTTTAGAAATAGCTAAAAGGCACAGGACACTAGCTTAATGCCCAGTGCTTAACAAAGTTTTTGTGCTTGTATTYTCCACCTGAGAAGGGCCACAGTACATCAGACAGAACACCATCCAGCCCAGGCTCCTGGGATAGAGGAAGAAAGTGTAACTGCAAAAAGYCAGACCCAAGCCTTCCTCCAAGTGTTCTTTGAGCCCTAAAGTACTTGTGGTTTAAGAACCCTTCASCTAGAGGTAGGATCTTTGGGTTTAAATGCTCACAGAAAAATCCAGAGGAGCCTGGCTAAACAGTTTGCATTACATAAAGCTTTTTATAGACTCGAACAATCTTCTGGGAGCAAATGGCACAGTTCAGTTCATATACCATGAAAAACAAAGATCACTGTCTTCTCTAGAGCATCCCATAGTTTTTGCTGCCTGGCTGTTTTTATATTAGGCCAAGAAGAGAATCCCAGGTCTTTCCTGATTTTGTAGGCTCTCAATTGTATCAGTGTTTATCTTTCCTCCTATTGCTAGGGTCACCGTTTGTCAAGACTAGACAATAAACAACAAAATGAGCACTAATCTTGAGAATCTGACTATTGTAGGATGCCAGAGTATAGTCTGAAAACATTTCAACCACTTGAAAATGGAGCAATATCWACAAAACCCTAATGAAAGAAAAGGACACATTTCTCAAAAGCACAGCCTTTATTTCTTCATTTTCAGAAAATAACAGAAGCTATACTTTGATCTCAAACTGATGTCTCATTTAGTCATTATCAAGGTACTAAGTACTTACCTAAGTATCTCATTTTGGTCATCAGTCAGAATACAGACAAATGTAACAGTAACCTAATTGCATGTGGTATAGACATTAGGAAAKAAGAGATATTTCCATTGAGGATTTTACTTACTTTAAAGAGGAGTCTCCAACACCAAGACATCCTCTCAGACTAAGCTGTCTCAGGAACCCACCACACCTTTTCGATATATTTTCCACAACACGACCCTTAAACAAAACAAAAGCAAGATTTAACTCAGTTTTATTCTGACATAATATTCTAACCAAATTAAAAATCCCAGGAGATAAAACCAGCCCCAGCCACACCCGACCAGAACTACAACTCTGAATTTCTTTTGCTTCTTTAAGAAAAAACAGCTACCTGTTGAGAACCTTCACTCACACTCAGGTGCTATTCAATTCAATCTTTAATTCTCTCTTCTTCCTTTGATCACAYACGGCTCAAGTTTTTGTTGCAGCAGGCCCTACCCATCAAGACTACCAAAATGATCCTCAAGGTTTGTCAGATGTGTAGGGAACTGCCCCTGGGTGGAATGGAAGGCCTGGACACTCCTCAAAGGTGACAGACACTTCTACAGCACGTCAGTTTAAATTGCCCACAGAGACGTGCTTAGACCAGCACATCATGACAGCCTCCAGTGAGTGTCTGTTTTGCAGCTCCTGCCATAGGCACGGCTGCAACTGAAAGGTGTCAAACACCGTGGTGGGAGCAGCAACAGCAGGACTAATACCTAACAGCACTGTGCATTTTTTTTCTCAYCCTTTAAAGAAGAAATAGGTATATAATTACAGGTCAGTGAATTCTTCACTGTCCTTGTTTTCCTCTCATGTTACCATGGGATGGTAACAATTTTACTGAAACACTAATATGTTTCTTATATTTTATTKTCTTGTCTAGTACTAAAGTCTTGGCCATCACTATGTAAAAATATTTTCTTATCAGAGCTTGTTTCTTGGTCCATAAGTAACATTGCTTATCTTATCTCTCAGAAGAATTTACACCAAAACAAACAAACTGAAAATCATATCTTTTTAAAAGCTTATCAATTAATCAGAATTATTTCTCAGCAAAGGCCAAGTACCTTTACTGTAAGGAATATTCTTCAATGAATAACATATAATAAAAGTTCATATTACATTGCAGAAAAAAGCCAAACCCTAACGAACTATTCAAAGAAAAGACAAACAAATAATAAGTTTTCTCACACCCATTTATTTCTTTAATCATGTAAAATCTCCCAAAAAACAGCACACTAAAGAAGACAACTTTAGTGCATTTGAATGCATTTGGCTGTTTGAATAATTTGTCACTCAAAAAAGTAGTTCTTCAATCTACCCCACCTTACAATTGGTTCCACATATCAAGAAATTCTAAGGTACATTTAGTTTCAAGATCACACATTTTTGATAGAAAAGAAACATTTTTAATATGTTTTTCCCCCTCCTCACTTTATTCTCTACCATATGAGGTCTTAAATATAGAAAACTTCACAAAACTGAACTTTTCATTATTTGATATTCTCAGATAAAGTACTGACTGAAAAATCACCAAACAGCACAACATTCAACTCAGCACAAAGTTGTCAAACACAATTAGCAGCTTTTACCTGTACTAAATCCATAGATATAAAATATGCTATTAAAACAGCTAAACAGARTTCTTAGACACCAAATGTTAAACTGTATCTTGTTTAAGCACTARCTTGTGTAATAATTTCTGGTTGAACACACTCCTATGAGTAAACTTTAGGGGTTTCTATTATAAATGTACTTAAATATAACATACTGAAATATATGAATTGCTCCAAACCACAATAGCTTTTTATGGCAAAAGAAGGTCATAACTTAGTTTCATTCCTTCTCCTAAATGCTATGCTACAAACACCACTAGGTAAAATACGTGACAAAAATATTGAAAATTTGAAAAAACAATACTATGTTTCTAAATACCAAAATTATTGTAAACACATAAAAGCCTCATCAACAGAAGGGCTGCAGACCTGTGGGGCTTTTCTTTATTTCTTAGCAAATGAGGAATATAAGTTTTTCTAAAGGCAACTGAAAAGATGTCATTAAAGCTGCCAATTGTCTTTGACACRTTTAGATTGAGGCAGATACCTAAAATCCTTCTCCTACCTCTGGCAAGATCCTTATTTAAGATGAGTAGAGCACAGGAGTTGGCAATAAAGTTTTAAAATAGAGGTGAAAAAATTTGCCCTCTATGTTACTATAAAGCTTTAGGAACAGTTTGTACCATGGTTAGCAAAATACAGCAAATGAAACACATCTGGATTTTATTCATGCAACTAAGAAACTAAAATATAAAATACATAAATAAATCTATTATTCTAGTCTAAATTTAATTTGTATCAAACAACAAATAATAAACCAGTTCCGATTGAATCAAGGATTGTTGTTCCCCACCAATTTTTGTCTTAATCTCCAGATGTCGTTTTTAATTTTGTTATGCATACCTATGAGAGCATTAATGCAGACATGTTTATCTTACAGAAGACAAGTCTGCGCTAAAACCTTTCATTATACACTGAAAAGGACTTGCTGCACATGTACCTGCATTTCATGCAAGTTCAAAACTTACAAAACAAATGGTCATAATATGGTAATCAGACACACACCAAATCAAATCTAGGCAAGTCCTCAGTAAGAAAAGTTGCTCAACATTTTAGTGCTTCAATCTCCAGATCTTATAGCCAAGTGTCCCGTGAGTTCCCAGCACTAGATGGCCCCCTCACAGAGAGATTTGGGACCAGCAACAAAATTATCCTCTAGATGGTAAATGTGATTCCAAGAATCTCACTCCATCCAGAGGCAGTGTTTACACCTTTCCTTTCTGGAAATGAGCAAGTTTCAATTTCTAGTGCCCTGTATGTATATGATATATGAAAATTATCACAGCTGGCAACCAAAACTGAAACACTCATCCAGGAAAAGAAAAAAGAAAGCAAATACAGAGTTCTTTTTCATTTGCTYCTTCACAGCTTTTTCTTGAACTTACTCATTAAAACATGTGAACACAAGCACAGTCTGTGGGGCACTCAAAATGGGCTATGCTCTTAAACATCTCCATAGGAATGAAAAATACCCTAAAAATGAAAGACACTAACCTCTATATCCGTTTGAAAGTTAAAGAGGTCTATTCTTTGCCAATTGCTTCCATCCAGAGCTAAAACATTCCATGCCTACAGAAAACAAATACAGTTTATTTATTACCTCCATTGCCTGCTCCCTACATTTTCCTSTGAGTAATTCAGATATTACAAACTAGGCAATTTTATGCAGCATTTAAAAAAAATTGTAGATATTAGTAGTCATACAGTACCAACTAASTAAAAACAGAATTTGCAGAATTTAATCTCAAACGTCCTAAATAGATTACACTTTAAAGGCTAACTTGTGGCTACAAAACATAGGGAAAGTAAGATATTAAATGTGAGATATGTACATAGGAAGATTTAACCCTCCGTTCTTAAAAAACTTTTGTAAAACTAATGAGTTACTTTTCCTAGATCTATATGAAAAGAAAGTAGCAGCAGATGAGATTCCTTTCAATAAAACCACAGTTTCTCAACCTCACTAGCTACTATTCTGAGAAAACAGAAACCTTTCAGAAAACTGCTGACTTTCCACTATTAGGACCAGGCCTTTCCTTTACACGTGCTAAGTTACACATATGTGTTTGAGAGCTTGTCCTTCACTGTTGAAGCAATAGTTGTTCAAAGTGAAGCAAAATAAAAAAGCCAGAGAAACACAAATATATGTAGAAAATGAGAAAAAAAAAAAGAATACCGCATCCAACTGACAGGTAGTTCTGAGAGAAAGATCCAGTTTATTCAATTACTGTGGTTTTCTTATGCAGTTTTGTAGGTTTTAGCTGAAACCTGAYATCACTTGACTCACAAAACTTACTGAAGTTGTAGGCCAGGGTGATATGGGTGTAGGAATGAAATGATTACACACTTAATTTTACATTAAATCAAACAAACAAACAACAAAAAAAAAATCCACACAGAATTAAGAGAAGAAAAACATGAAATAAATTTCATTCGTGTAGTATAATAATACAGTTCATTGTACACAGTTGATGTAGAAACAGAATATTATTCATTTTACTTCAAGAAAAAAAATGAAGACAAGCTAAACACAAAAAGTTACTTAGCATGCCTTCTCTAATATCTTGWGTGTGCCTTTTTCTTCCTCTAGTAGTCCATCTACTTAACACCTTTRGTATTTGGCAAGAAAATGACGGATGTACTTTTTAGACATACACATTAACCAAACTATATGGAACTTTAAGCAGGAACTACACCGGAAAAATAAGTGTTRTAAAGCCACATGCTTTATAAAAAGCAAGTGTCATCAGGCCAACCTGGGCTAATCCCTTCTCCAGATCCAGAGTGTACATRACTGGATATCTTTTCCATAGCCTTTAGATACAAGTCCTGTACACAGCAAGTAAGTCCACACCTAAATGCAAAACTGGAACCACTGTTCATTTGCTTTAATAAACTAAGASAYTGAGGAAACKAATTTTTTTTTTTYYAMMRGRA